CGCCAACTTTCCAGGTTAGTACTGGATACAAAGAGAGAGAGAGTTCTTCTTCTTCCTCTTCTAAGTCCACCATCTCTTCCTCACCCTCCAACTGCCTGACTTCTCAGTATTTATGGACTACGAGAAAGAGTTGTGACTTGAGACTTAACGACATTGCTTCAGACTCGCCTTTGGGATACCGACATTCGACGAGGACTATTTGCGACTTGTATCGCAGACTTGGTGTTGGCGACATTTCCCATCCTCTTCTTCTTCGTCTGTTCTCCCTCACCTTCGTCCGTGCATGATTCAGGACTGGCGCGTTCTTCTGTGTGAGTGTCAGCCCTTCACACCTTTGTACGACAATGATGTATGTTGAGGCTGCATTGCGACATTGATTTTTCTTATCATTGGTATTTCAGTCTTCCGCTGTGCTGTATTGTACTTTGTATGAGAGGTCGGTTCTTGTTCTGTCTTGCGCCTTATGGTATGCAACAGTTTGGTATCGGATCGGACCTCTCCATATGAGAATCCGCTTAGTTAAGGAACCTGCTTGAAGTTGTTGAACGATTGATAACTTGATCTAGTAGGACTTCGTCAAATCTCTAAAGTATTGTTTCTATTTCTTCTTCTACAACAATATTTGAAAATCGTGATAATAGTATTTCGTTCGATCTAAAAATTTCTGATATTGGTAGTTCTTTTTTTTTCAAGTATCTGAAACTTCGTGATAATACCATTATGAAAATCTCGAATATTTGCATGTCGTTTTACGTAACAAATATATGAAGTTCGTGACGATAGCATTCTGAAAATTTTCGATAAGAGCATTTCGTCTTTACGCAACAAATATCTAAAACTTCGTGATACTCGCATTTTGTTTATCTGAAATTTCTGATATTAGCATTTCGTTTTTACGCAACAATATCTGAAATTTTTAAAAATAACATTTCGTTTCTCTGATATAAATATACGAAATTTCTGATATTCGAATATATTTCCAAAGTTCTGCGGTAAGTCTCTTCGTTTTCTAGGCATAACGATAAAAGTGGTCATATTCTCGAAAAAACAGATTTATTCTTTTTCTGAAAACCGAATCTCCTTTTCTATCTTGCAATGCTTTCAAACCAAAATTTTGCGAAGCTTATCAGCATTTCGTTCTTTTAGGCATATTAGGAGATCGTCATTTCGTAGCAATATGACTGGGTCCTTTTCTAAAAAATCGCATCTCTACTATGTTTTGCAAAAAAAATTTTCCTAAGATCACATGTTTGGAAAACCGAAACCTTGCAAACTCGGCCTAGATCTCACTCTTAGACTCTTCTAACATACCGCATCGACATATATACCAAAAAAAAAAAAAAGGCAGTAGTCCTCTTTTATTATTGTTATTATGTGTTGATTAGGGCCGGGGGAAATATTGTTTGGTTGGTTTCCTACCTACGTTTTCCCTCCCACCGACCCCTTGTGTGCATACCTGGTGTGGTAAGTGCCACGTCAACAATAGTGACACGTCAGCATTAGTGACACATCAACATCAGTGACACATCAGACATTGCCATATCAGCCCAGTGCCAAGTTTGACAGTGCACATTAGACAGTGCCACGTCAGCAGTGCCACGTCAGACAGTGCCACGTCAGATAGTGCCACGTCAGACAGTGCCACGTCAGCAGTGCCAGGTCAGACAGTGCCACGTCAGCTTAGTGAAACGTCAGCTCAGTGACACGTCAGCTCAGTGACACGTCAGCTTAGTGACACGTCACTCAGTGCTAGGTCAGACAGTGCCACATCAGACAGTGCCACGTCAAATAGTGCCACCTCAACAGCAGTGCCACGTCAGCAACCATATTGGGCTCAGCCTTAGGCTTGCCAGGCAAACTAGCCAACGAATCCATTGCCGCGTATCAACAGCGGGTGCAGGCTCAGCTCGCATTGATCGAGGTTGAGGAACAGCGCCAGGTAGCTGCCGAGGCCGCCCGCTTATAGGCTGAAGAGGCAGCAGCAGCTGAAAGGGAGCGCCTTCAAGCTGAAGCAGACGCAAGCATCCAGTCACGCCACAAGGAAGCCCTAGAGTTGCTGCAGCGGCATGAAGCAACAAACATCGAAAAACTTAAGTTTTGGCTTTTCGAACCATCTGACGGGCATGAAGACGCGACACCGGAGGAGGAACACAAGGAGTTCATGGCCAAGCTCGTCACCCGGCTGGTTTACACACTTAACCACCCGCAGTCTGAGCTGGCAAACCTCCAACGTGCGGTGTACACGTTCAATACGCAGCACGAGGATGCAACACAGGCACTCTATTCCCATATGCAGGACTTGGAGCAAACAGCACAAAGACCGGCGGCTGGTGAATCTAGCAGTGCACCCTTCGCTCGGCAACTGGAGGAACCCATTGACCACGTTGAGGCCATGATAGGAGATGTCAATACCTCCGCAGCGCCCGCCACCATCAGCCAGCAGCTGGGCGCACTGAGGACCGAAATCAGACAGCAGCAGTCGTTTGACCACGATCGCAGCGCCAGCACCAACACGGCGAAACCGTACAAAATGCTGACGTTCCGGACCGAGAAGTTTGACGACTACACACATCAGGATCCGGTCATCTGGTGGCAAGGTTTCACGACGGAGCTGGGGATTCGCGAGGTCCCCGGGCATATGTTCATCAGCGCATTCTTCCTCAATGTCAAGGAAGGATGTCAGATTTGGCTGAGCCATTTGGCAGCCGTCCACGGCGTCCAGGTGGTTGATCTTCACAAAAAGATCACATGGGAGGAACTCACGAAGGAATGGAAGAAGCAGTTCATCGTCGACGACGCCCCGACACTATCTGTTAACCGCATTTTCACCATGGCTCAGGGCAACACACCTACACGTGACTGGATGACTGAGTGGCGGAAGATTGTGGCTATACGAGATCTGTACCTGCCATTCCCGCACCTACACCGGAAATTCTTCAACCGGTCATGCGCTGCCTTGAGCATGGTACTTGGCGATCGCGAGCAGTATCAGACTTTCACACAGTTCATTGACAAGGCTAGAGCAATCATCAAAATGACATGGCGGCTGCACATGAGAAGACAGCATGGCACCCCACCTGTGTGGAGAAGGCGAAATCTGGTCCTCGGCCGCAACATGTCGCTGCAGTCCAACCGGACATCACCATGGAAGACCCGGCAGCCACCAAGGTATCAAGTGAAGGGGATCAGGTGGCTGCTCTCCAGGCAAGAAGCACCAAAAAGTCCCACAACAATGGAAAGACGAAGACCGCATCATCGGCTGGAGATGGAAAGCCATGACCATGGGTCAAGTTTAACTTGACCGAGGCCGAGTACAAGTATCGTGGCCGATACGGCTGTTGCTATTAGTGCAATAGCACCAAACACAAGACCTCCCTTTGCCAGGACAAGGGCAAGGAAGATGTTCGGCCTCACAATAACTCGGGAAAATGAGTTGCGTGGGAGGTGAGGCGACTCCACCTACCACTCCGCCAGATTTGGCCGCCTTGCTCAATGCCTCCTACACATCAGGGGAAGGTGCGAATGTCGCAAGTCCTCGGTTGGCTTATGAGGAATATGCTGTCCACTTAGTCCCACCACTGGACCAACCACTCCACGTGCAACACTCCATTACATGCACGGTTTCATCTCCATCGGCAACCGATTCCGCAGTTTCGTCGTTATCTATCGCAGGCGATTCGACGACGTGCTCAAGACTTGAGGAGCTCGACCCGATGACAGTCGCGGACTTCCAATGGATGACCATTCCCCCGACAGGTCAATTGTCAAAACCGCATTGCAACGTGCTAATGGCATAATTGCGGGAGTATTTGCACACTGCAGTACCAGTTCCGCTGATGGACGTCTGAGTAGAGGTAATCGACCTTCAACTGTACTTTGCGAAGATCGACCGCGAGTTTAAGACAACGGTACCTCGACAGCGATGCACCATTGCTGTATGTACGCATTCAGATTGGAGAGGCGGCCTGCAGTGCCTTGATCGATTGCGGTGCAACTCGCAACTACATGAGTTAGGACTTCATGATACGCGCCGGCCTTGGACCACACGTTCGGTGGAAGTCCCATCCTACACAAGTCACGTTGGCTGACGGTCACATGCACAAGTCAATTGACCGGTGCATTGGCGACGGCCCCGTGTACTTTGCCACGCATGCATGCGAGGCTATGTCGTTCGACATTTTGGACACTAAGTTTGACATGATCTTGGGCATGTCATGGATGTGAAGTGAGGATCACCTGGTGAACTTCTACCGCTGTACCGTTCACGTCCATGACCGGAATGGAGTATTAGTCCTATGCACGGTGCCTCCTCCTCACTCTTCGATCATTTGTCATGTGGTGTCCGCCGCAAGTATTTGAGCTTTCATCATCAGGGTTGACATCGAGGAGATGGGGGTGTGTTTTCTCCACGCCCTCCCACCCCATGACACTCCATCGACGGACACATTATTGGACCCACGCATCAGCGAGCTTCTCCACGCTTATAACGACGTGTTCGAGGCCCCGCACGGAGTTGTACCGGATCGGCCCATCCGTCACGAGATCTTTCTCGAGGACAAGGGTGTACCTCCGCGTGGTTGCATCTACCGAATGAGCGAGGAAGAGTTAAGTATGGTATGGGCACCGATCATCCTCGAGGACGGGGCTGTACCTCCGCGTGGTTGCATCTACTGAATGAGCAAGGAACAGTTAAGTGTGCTACGGGCACAACTCGACAACCTTCTGGAGAAAAGTTGGATATGGCCTAGCTCATTGCCATACGGTGCCCCTGTTCTCTTCGTCCGAAAGAAGAACAAGGATTTGCAGTTGTGCATCGATTATCGCAAGCTCAACGCAGAAACGGTCAAGAACGTCAGCCCTCTCTCACTCATCGACGACCTCCTTGAGCGATTGGGCGGCGCCAAATTCCTCTCCTAGCTGAACCTCAAGTCAGGATATCACCAACTCGAGATTCGCCCCGACTCCGGAGGACCGCTACAAGACCGAGTTCAAAACGCGATATCGGCATTTCGAATGGCCATTCATGTCGTTTGGCCTTACAAATGCGCCAACCACATTCCAAGCGGATATGACAATAGAGTTCTGACACATGCTGGATTGTTTCATACTAATCTACCTCGACACCACCTTGGTGTACAGTCGGAGTTCTGACCAGCATGTGGAGCACCTGCGCACCATTTTGGAGCGGCTACGTCAGACCAAGTACAAAGCCAACCGCGACAAATGCGAGTTCGCGCAACAGGAGCTGGAGTACGTGGGACATTATGTGACGCCGCAAGGCATCCGTCCGCTTGAGGACAAGATCGAGGACATCCGTGTATGGCCCAGGCCCACCAACACCTCGGAAGTCCGTTCATTTATGGGGTTGGTGGGCTACTATCAGCGTTTCCTCACCGGATACTCGAGGATTGTTGCACCTCTGACGAGACTACAATCGCCAAAGCTGCCATTCGTATTCGATGACGACGCACGTCGGGCTTTCCAAGCACTTAAGATGCCTATGCTCATGGCACCCGTGCTTAGCATCTACGACCCCACCCTGCCTACGAGAGTGACGACTGACACTTCCGGTTACGGCATTGGGGCAGTCTTGGAGCAGCACGACGGCGAGGATTGGCACCCTGTGGAGTACTTCAGCCACAAAGTGCCTCCCATCAATTCTCACGATGATGCAAGGACGAAGGAGCAACTTGCCTTCGTGATGGCTCTCAAGCGATGGCCACACTTCCTCCTTGGGCGTCGTAGGTTCACATGGGTCACGGACAACAACCCATTGACATACCACAAGACGCAGGATACAGTGAGCAGCACAATCGAACAATGAATGTACTTCATTGACCAATTAGACTTCACACCGAAACATGTTGACGGCCTCTCAAATCGCGCAGCAGATGCACTCTCATGGCGACCTGATCTTTGTGCTATGACACATCATGCTTTCACGTTCGACGAGGACATCTAGCAACACTTCATCAGAGACTTTGAGTCGGATCTAGAGTTTGCCACGTTGTATGTGCAGCTATCTTCGGATCACCCGCCGGCCAGCCATTATCGCATCGTCAACGAATACTTGCTCCTCCACTCGAGAGGCAAGAACTTACTCTGTGTTCCACGCAACTGTCACTTTCAAACTCGTCTACTCGGCGAGTACTACGACTCGCGACTGGTCGGCCATCTCGAAATCAATCAAACGATTGCACGACTTCGACAACGATTCCGTTGGTCCGATCTCATCACCGATGTCACTTGGTATTGCGACTCTTGCGAAGTTTGCCGGCGTAGCAAACCCCGCAACCGCAACCCTTATGGCGAGTTGCGCCCAATGCCGATTTTAGGGGAGCCCGACATCTCCATTGCTATGAACGTTACCGGACCGTTTCCCTGTGACCGCCTCGGCACGATGACATTCTCACGGTTGTGGACCATTTGAGTAAGTATGCGCGTTTTCTTCCCTGCAAGTACTACTCTACGGCTCCCGAGCTGGCGCGCCTTTTGCACACTGGATGGATCTGCGGAAACGGTGTGCCGAGAGACATCGTCAACGACCGCGACACCCGCTGCATAAGGGTCTTCTGGACATCTCTCATGCAGGAGTACGACACGAACATGAAACCAAGTTCGGCTCGGCATCCATAAACGGACGGGCAAACGGAGTGGGCACATCAGACTGCTCAGATGATGCTTCGTACGCTCATTCGTTCGGATCAGAAAGATTGGGATGATCGCCTCCTCGACATCGAGTTCGCCTACAACACTTCAGTGCACCCGGTGATCAGCGTAACTCTGTTTGAGCTACACAAAAGTGGACTGTAAGGCTAATTCTTTGTCGATCTTCTCCTCCCACGACCAGCCGACGTCAGCACCGCTTGCTCTCCCCCTTTCGTCCAAAAGTACAGGGAATTGCTGGCTAAAGCCCGCGCAAATATGCAAAAGGCTCAAGTCCGCATGCAGCAGCAAGCCAACAGGCGTCGCATGCCATGTCCCATCTGCGCCGAGGATCGAGTTTGGGCCACCTCGGAAGAGTTTGCACTGGAACAAGATGTCTCACGCAAACTACTTCCCAAGTGGTTTGGACTATGGGCTATGACATCATCCGCGGGCGATGAGCCCGATGGCCCCTCATTTATGGTCAAGATTCCCCCACATCTGACCGTCCATCCAGTCTTTCACGCCTTGAAGCTGGCGACTTATACACCAGCCAAGAGCGACGACGTCCTGGGCCGACGATCGCAGGACCCTCCTTCTATGGATGGCTATCAGGAAGTTGACCGCGTCGTCGCGGATCGCAAGTACGGCAACAAGCCTCGACAGTACAAAGTTACATTCAGAGCATGCGATCCCGATGACACTGGGTGGATTTCAGGCGCGGAGTTGAAAGCATCTGCACCGTTGACCTACGCTCACTAAGAGAAGCAAAGGTCAGCTAAGCAAGCTTCACAACCGGCCCCACCCACCCGGACTGTGGTCCCTCCCTCAGACAGACAGCTTCGCCCTCGCAGGTAAGCTCGGTCTTTCAAGGAGGGGGGGTGTGGCATACTGCCTAGCCACACGGGCCTGCAGGGCCCGTTCCGCATTCTCAAGCCGAAAAGCCTAAAAAATAGGGCTTACAGGCCCCGGTTTGAGCCAGGAAGCTGAAACGAGGGCCTGCAGACCCTACCATTTCGTTTCAGGCTAAAATAGGGCCATTTTGGCCCAGAGTCTTTTCAGCCTCAAACGAAGGGCCATTTTGGGCCCTCATGACTTTTGCCCTGCCCTAAAACTCAGGCTACAAACCAGGGTTCACCGCAAGAAGAGGGTTGTGGCAGCATATGAAATGCCCGAAGGGTGACTGGCATCTGGCGAAAACAAAAGATGACAAGGTGGCGCAGCAGCAGAACTATCACGCTTTCCTGCGCAAAGCGATACAGATGACACACCAGACCCCGAGCTGTGGAATCAGTCGCTGAACAATAAATTTGTCCGTAATTGGTCCAACCTCTTGAGGCCATTCATGTGCCTTGCCACCACTGGCAACGCAGTGTGGCAGTTGGCGAACCGGTTCTTCGACATGTGAGAGAAAGGAGAATTGCCTGGCCAGGATGGAGTCAGGCCGGTTGATCAACAGGGGAGGCCGGGCGAGGTGTCCGGTGTAGGTCCAGCTGCCAAAACAGTGAAACGGAAAAAGGAACAGGTGTACTACGAGCAGTTGAACAAAAGTCCGAATGGGTACTATGTGTGTGTTCATGACCCTCCGGCGAGCGCTTGGAAAGTGTTCGGGGATTTCACTGCCAGGGAGAAGGAGATGGCATTGGATTTGATTTTGGCAGGGAAGGTCGTTGTCACCACCGGCAGGACATTCGTAAAGAAACTGATGAACATGAGCGACCTCTACACAGAAGTGCACAGGGAGGGATACATGGTGCGCATGTTCAACTACGTGCTCTTCAAGTCGGAACGGAGGGGACAACGTGAGTGGAATGACGATTTCTTCATCGGGTATGATGATATTATGAAGAGATTTGAGCCGCACGGGTTGACGAAAGAGAAATGGGAGAAGAAGAAGATTAAACTTCCAGTTAACAGAACGAACAACGAGCCAAAACGACTGAGGGGGGTGGATGAGGGGAAGTTGGGACAGGGGAATGTGGGGGGGTACAAGGTGACGACTGAAATGTATATTGAGTGTCCGTACTTCCTCAAACTGTTTCTGCATGAGATAATGGGAGCGGTGAGCCAGTTGAAGGACGAGCTTCAGCGCGTCAACGCAAATGCACATCATATATTGTGGGATAAGCGGAAGTGTAATACAACGTATTTGCCTTTGTGCATGGCGCTGTTGGATGGGCTGCAACCGACAGAGGATCTGACTCGTGCTGCGAAGAAATTGAGTTGTCACCTTGCGGTGCTGGACCTGGCTCCCCACAAGAACCTGGATTCATGGACGGAGCAGAGGTTTGTGGAACTTCAGCAAATGATGATGGCTCTGTGTGGGACACACTGGACACTCATCATTTTTAGTGGATTGAAGGGCGAGGACTACATTCTGAGGAACATCTTTAGGTGGGGGGGTGTGAAAGTTCTTCCGGGCCGCTGGCGGCGACATCATGGCACGCAACCATCCTCATGTGTCCCCCTTGGGAATCTTTCATTGAGGAGCCGCGAATCAATGACGATTGTGTTGCACGACACGGGCAATGACTTCAAAAAAGTCATCGTCTCGTCCAAACGTGATAATGTGTTTTTTGACACTAACTGCGAGGAGGATATGTTCATCCGTTGCACACAACAGCACATCGGCGTGGCCGGCGAAGACAAACCTGTTTATGGGGTTTGGGAGAGAGAGTCAGCAAGAATGAAGGAGTTGTGTTCATGGTTTTCGAAGGAGGGGGAGGTTGTGCTTCTTCTGGGCAACGTCCAGTCTGGGTCAGTTTGGGACTTGCTTCGATCTGGTCGTCATGTGGTGGCATGTGAGGGCTCTACCACCATGCTCGAATTTTGTTCCGCGTTTATTGATCGCCTCGTCCATAATTCCAAAAGTCGTTGTCACTTCGAGCGGCCCAAAACTCAGCATCGGTCGGACCGGGACATGTTCCTGAAACTCGGGAAGAAGAGAGAATTTTTGTGGAAGTACTTGTTCTGCAATGCTCCTGATACACGAACGGAGACTAATTACGTTGCTAGAAAAGTCGTCGCTCTCCAACACCTCCAGCGCTACCACGACGCCAAGATTAGTGCAATCGAGATATTTCTGGCACGTTGCGAGGACCTGTGGTTCGACAGAAAAATGCGCCGCATCGACGCAAGGATTTATAACAAAGCGTTGGACCCTGAAGACCGTTTCGATATAATGGACAGTGAGGAGGATACCGATGATGACGAGATCCACCTGCCGCTGCCTAATGCAAGAAATCACGCAGCTGACGAGAACATGCGCACCGGGTCCTTATCGGGGGGGGACCCGGTGGTGCTTGAAGTCGGGGGACCGACAATGGCCAGCTGCAAGACCGCCCAGCTCACACCGCAGGAGATGGTACCGAGGCAAGCACTTCGAAATGGAAAGACAAGAGAGGCGCCCCAGGGTTTCCAACGCTGATGTGGCAAATGTTCGACCAAGTAATGGAAATGCCAACAGAGAACCAAACTCATGGTGAACATGACGACGCAGACCCTGGGGAGGATGACATGGGTCTGGATGACAATCCGCTGTTCCACAGTCCAGATGACGAAGACAAAGATCTAACTCCTGGAGATGAAATCGAAAGTCACATGAAGGAGAGCAAAGGGGGACCTCACTTTTTGGACACCAAGTTCACAGAGACTGAGGTGTACAAATGGGGCCATCACATCATATGACATCCGGGTCTTTTCGAGCCATGTGTGGTTGATGGCAAATGGCACATGGCTGTCCGAGTCAGAGGGAAGTGGATATTCAAGAAGAGACTAAGCAGGAGTAAGTTCCTTGAGACTGCAAAGGAACAGTTGTTGTTGCGCGTGCTGCAGGCGAACAAGGGTGCAGGAGAGCAAGATATCAGCGAAAAGGTGAACTATGTTTTTGAATCGCTGCTTCAAAACAATCTTCAGGAGTATTGCGCTGCTTTCTATGAGAGAAAATCGAGCCCTTCACGAGGACAGATCAGATGGACATTGGATTGTTGTCAGACAGAACAACTGTTCGACAGTGACATATTGGTGGGGTGCACTCAAGCCATGGAAGAGAATATCCGACAGTGTAAGAGTTTAAATGGGACTAGAGAAGGAGCCGTTAAGACGAGTGTCGCTGAAAAGGAAGGGCGTGAGAGGAAGGACGTCGAATGTAAAGAACAGGGAACTCATGAGGCATCAGTTGATGAGCTACTAAGAACGCCGTTTTCTGAGGGCGTTGGTGCGGTGCCAAGGGAAAAGACAGCAGGTCCGGGATGCGGTGGGGAAGGGGCAGGAAATACAAAGGAACAGGGGGAAAAGAAGGCCACAACCGACGAAGATGCGGGAGATGTCGGAGATAGGGGTGCCCAACGGGTGCCCAGTGGAGTGGGAGACACACTTTCGGCAGCCGACATAGGGATGTCGTTACATGGAGGACAGGGTGGGGGGGAGCACGATGTGGGAGATGCACTGGTATTCGGAGGAGCAAACCCGAGGGACACTACCGAGCCTTTAGCGGATGACAGAGATGAGGGGGACAAACTTGTGCACGTGGTATGCACTAGCTCTGGCTCACAGATAGCCCCAGACTCAATGGAGAGGGAAGAAGGTGGTGGTATGGAGGGAGTTCGTATGACACATGGTCGTGAAGTGGGAGATGATGATAAGGAAGGCGATGCGGATGCGAACCTCGAACATGACATGGACGTGGACAGCGGCGATGGTTTGGGAAAGGAAGCTTCCTATCGTGATCCGGTGGCAGCAACTCGAGTATGATCAACTTGATCGAGCAATCAGGTGAGAACAGAGGAAAGTCACATAGTGAAGGAAGAACGTTGTGATTAGCCAAGCCAACACAAATGGACCATGCTTTGCATGATGGGAGTGAGGGAAGGTGCAGTCCGAAGCGTGAAGCGAGAGAGGAAAAAGAGGAATGTGGTGTGCGGCGCTCAAAGAGAGGCAGGAAGAAGAAAGCAGCATAGCACACATGCATATGCATGCATGTGCAGTGACGTGTGTGTGTGGGTGTGTGTATGTGCATATGCGTATGTGTTTGAGCGTATATGTGTGTATGTATGAATGTTTCGTGTGTGTGTGTCTATGCGTGTGTGTGTGTGTGTATGTGTGTGTGTGTGTGTGTGTGTATGTGTCACAGTGTGTGTGTGTGTGTGTCACAGTGTGTGTATGTGTGTGTGTGTGTCACAGTGTGTGTGTGTGTGTGTGCGTGTGTGTATGTGTGTCATAGTGTGTGTGTGTGTGTGCGTGTGTGTGTGTGTGTGTGTGTGTTTGTGTGTGTTAGAAAGTGTGTGTTAGAGAGTGTGTGTGTGTGTTTATGCATGAGGATGAATATAGATAGAAGGGTGTACAAGAGGTTCGGTTGTCGGTGCTCAATGGAATACTCCCAAGTTCAATTTCTCATTCGATGACGTCGATCGACAAAAAGTGCTGGAAGTTGTGTAATATTCCATTAAGTTTTTCAACGATCCGTTTGAGCAGGAAGAACGACAGTTTATTAATTAAGCAATATTTTAATGGGAAAAGGATGGTGGCGAATCTTTCTCTGTCGGCAATGGTCTCTCTCTCTCTCTCTCTCTCTTACAATCGGCAATGGTCTCTCTCTCTCTCTCTCTCTTACAATCTCTCTCTCTCTCTCTCTCTCTCTCTCTCTCTCTCTCTCTCTCTCTCTCTCTCTCTCTCTCTCTCTCTTACAATCTCTCTTTCTCTCTCACTCTCTCTCTCTCTCACACACACACACACACACACACACACACACACACACACACACACACACATCAAAACACACCTCGGCGCGTAGTGCAAACAGACATTAACAACAAACAGTTCAAATTGTTGTTCGGTGATGCATTTAACCAGTGCAATGAAGGCGAACGCAGCTGTGTACATGGATGGACTATTCACTTAGCAATGGACACCCTCAATGAGACCGAAGAAGAGGCAATACGTCACATGAGTATAAAGCTGAATAATACGAAAACATTGACAAGCACAAAGAATGAAGCTACTCGAGAGCAACTGTTATTCACCGTGCATGATTTAAGCGTCCTCATGAACGAGAACGAGTGGTTGAACGACAACATTGTGAATTTCTACATGAAAATGAGTATGCATGACAACAATTGCAGAACATTTCATCAGGAATGTGACAATCCGTTTGACAAGTCCAATGTATGTAGCACGAGGACGATCCCCGTCACAGCTGCATATAGCTCATACTTTTTTACTAAACTTCTAGGCAAGAACATGGAATATAAGTATGACAAAGTTGCTAGATGGTTTCGGGATGTCATCATAGAAGACACGGAGTTGTTCCTAGCACCATATCACGATACGAAAAAGAAACATTGGACACTTGTTGCCGCCGACCGTCGACGGAATGTGATAGAGTATTATGATGCAATGGATACGAACACGAAGTTAGCTGAACAGGTGACAGGCTACTTCGCGCGATTTTTACTAGAGCGCTCAACGCAGCAGACCGACCAATAGACGTATCATGCTTCGAACACACTTTGGAAGTGAAGGGCATTCCGAAACAGGAGGACGCGAGTCAGTGCGGAGTGTTCATGCTCACTTATGCATCTCTTCTGGCGAGAGGCAAGGTGCCGCCATTCAATTTCACAATGGACGACATACAGGGCATTAGACGAAGGATCGCAATAGACTCTATAGCTTCGTGATTTGCAAATTTGAAATTCCATCGTATTCGTTCAGTGTTGTCGTAACTGATAATAGTTCAGAGCCTTCGATAGGTTGTGGGTATCCTCTCATATTATTATACACCGAAGAAAATGGAGACGAATTGGAAAGCCTTTGAAGAAATTCACGAAGGACATTGGCATAATATCATTTGGACTCACACTACTCGTTGATGATGTATGTTGTATGATGGACTCGTACAATAGAGGATATAAGGGACCATAGTTGTGGTGTATGGTATTTTTCTTATGGGATATGGTATACTAAGAACATGTGATGGTAGCCATCACTGCAGAGAAGGAAGTCACTCAAACATAAGTATGGTTGTGAACTAGGACCGACATATGATGATGTATGTTGTATGATGGACTCTTACGATAGAGGATATACCATACCATAGTTGTGGTGCATGGACTATGATAGATGATCCTACTATCTAATGGGATATGGTATACCATCACAATGCGAGGGTAGCCATTACTGCAAAGAAGGAAGTCACTCATTTCCACAAAAAAACATAGATGAAATTGACAAAGTTCAATTTTGCGAAAAAAGTAAAAAATGTCAATTTTAACGAAATGTCAGTTCCTAGATAATCTCTAGGCCCTGTGTTGTATGGTAATATGAGAGCAGACAATCCTCTGTTACCTCGTATGTCCCTGGAGCTCGTTCCGGCCCTGCGGTAAAGTGTACTATATCTTGACACTCCCGACATCCCGTACTAAGGAACTGCTATGCCAGCCTCAATCCTTTGACCACGTACTAAGAGGATGACCAGCCCTAAGTTACAGTCTGCCAGTCTGGTATAGAACAGAAGACCTTATGTGAGTTCTGCAAGTGACCTAACCTATTGACATACACTGTGAAATACTCTGCAGTTGTGCTATGCTGGGCTTGAGTAAACGGGACTATGCGAACCGCCCAGCAGTCTCATGACAACCCCGTCAACCAAGAACATCAGGATACCCACCATCGCCCAGTCCCCACATACAACAACCATGGACTACTCCTTGGGTGGTCGGCAGGCAGTGTCTGTAATAACTTACCTGCTTCATCCCAAGGAGGTGTGTGTCCAGCCGTGCATCATTCTAATGCCCTCTCGATGTCCATGCGCAAGGCTGCGGAGTTTGAAACCGCAACCTCTTACCACAATGTGCATTTCCAACGGGTGCTCTAACCACTAAGCTACATCAAATTTCTATCCAAACTCCTCTGCCCGTCTTTTTGCAGCCAACCTGCTTTTCCACCCGCCTGCCAGTGGGGTCCAAGCCTTTGAGTGACAGTTGTCAGAAACAAGCTTTGGCTTTCAAAAAATCTGAGAGGGCGGTCTGTAGAGAACAGGCAACAAGGAGAGCGGACACGTGGCTAACCCTATTCTCCATTCGAAAGCACCCAAAAAAAAAAATCTCAGCACATGCTCACACTTTGACTTTTTTAGTTATTTCAGGACTTAGGCGAGGCAGCAATGCGGTCAGATACATTTAAGAGATTGCTAGCCCCTCAGGGCGTGAGAATGCCACCACTCACAAGGTCTTGTTCCAGTGGAGCCAGATCTGTTACAAAATATTGCCCCCCCCCCCC